ACTGCCTTTCGTGTCGTTGGAAGCTTTGAAATCCACTCTCCTGTCTTCACTTCTCTTCGTATCCCAATAGACTGTACCGCCCAGACCTGCGTTATCATCTTCCCTTTCTTCAACCCCAGTCTTCTGATTCGAAAGGTTCATATCACCATGATCTCCATCATCATCATCCTCATCATCATCCTCATCATGATGATCATCATCACCATCATCATGATGATCATCATCATCATCATCATCATCATCATCATCATCATCATCATCACCATCATCACCACCACCACCATCACCGTTTTGAGGTGATTCCAACGATTCCAACGTTTCATTATCACCATCTTCATTGCCATCCCCAGTCATCTGATTCGAACGATTCATATCACCATTATCATCCTCATGATCATTAGCACCTTCATTATTATCATCATCATCATCATCATCAGTATCGTCATTATCACCCCCTGATCTGTGAATACCATCCTGTCTATTCCTCAGCTCAACATCCTTCGCTCTCAATACTCCATCCTTACCGTTTTGAGGCCTATGGCACTGCCCTATCACACAGACCCATCTAAGTTCACACCCACAGCTCCAGCACCGGACGTTCAACTCCATTGGAATCCCGCCGCCGTCTCCTGTTGTTGTTGCTGTTGTTGTTGTTGTTGTTGTTGTTTTTCCCACTGCTAGACCGGCTGTACGGGAAAGAGAAGTGCATGAGCAATGATCTGTGCTGAATGTGGAGCTTCATCTTAAGGTCGACAGTTCGAAATCTTTGGCAGCAAGTGAGAAGGTGGAAGGGAGTGGTACTCGCCGCGAGAGTATGTAGGGCAGTTTCTTGAACAAGGGGGAAGAAGGAAAGCGGGAAGTGACAACCAGGTTAACACCAGGGCCAGCAGAACTCGAAGGAAAGCGTTTGAACCTCAGCCGAGCACACGAGAGTTGAGAGTCAGTGACAGCGAGGATCAGTCTTCAGGAACGGTTTTTTTTTTTTTTTTTTCCTTCCACTTTTTAAGACTTGAAGTTCTTCTTCTTCTTCTAATTATTATTATTATTATTATTATTATTATTATTATTATTATTATTAATTTATATTATTAATTATATATTATTATTATTATTCCTTTTGAAGAACCAGCACCCCACTGTGTGGTCTTTGATAGGCTGATGGGTGGATGTCGATAGGTAGCTGGTGTGTAGCGGGTAGTTGATGGCGTATTGGAAAGCGGTAATTGCTGGGCTGCTGTTTTTTCTCTTTTTTGAGGACACGGCTTTATAGATTCGTGGTTGTTCTTTGCTTTTTGACAAACCATCCGAGACAGGTATTGTGGACTGTGGTGGGGATGGGTTTGGCCAGGAGTGCCTTGCCCAGCCCGACACACCATGGCATAAATGTGAGGGATGCCCGACCCGGTTTCCGGTTTTAATTAAAAAAAAAAAAGAAAAAAAAAAAGGGAAACAAACCAACTAGAGCACCTCAGTTGGTACACCCTTGAGCTGTTGAAATACATACCGAGTTCCAGCTCCAGGGGTGAGGTCCCACTAGCAAAGAGGATTGGATTGAACGCCTGAATCTGGCTGCGGTTGTGGACAAGTGCACAAAATCGAGACTGAAATCCTTTTCTGCATCTCTGCCTAAAACACGCCCAGACTCAGGATCTTAAGATTCAGGATCTTAATCCAATCCCCGTTGCTAGTGGGACCATGCTCCAGAGGAGTATAACAGTACAATTCTGAATTCCCTAGGGCCGGTCAGTTGGATGATGGTATCTAGAGGCCGTTGCACTTTCAAAAAAAAAAAAAAA